AGTGGGCCATGACCAAGCTTTGGATGTGTAGTTCTATTCTGGTGGTGAAGAATTAAAACAACATATTCAGTATACCACAGTTTCTCTATCTGCTTTCTAAAAATCCTTTTTAGCAAGATCTGAGCAAGCTACATTTTAACCTCCCTCCTCCAACCTCCTTCCACCCCACTTCCTGTCAAGGGATTGGTAGAGCCAGTTGAATTCCAGCAGGGACTGGGCTGGAGTCACTGGCTAGGCTGCTTTCCATAAAATGTTTTTGAAAACTCTACATTTTGGCCTAGAGTGAACTCAGATACTTCTTGTCATCCATGGCTCCACTGAGCCCAGGTGGATTGCTGGAAAGTCTTCAAAACATTGAATCAATTTCTCCCATTTGCAGAGGCCAGTGAACTTTGGGAAGGTGCACTGCCCTCAAGCACGTGTTTCCATTGGGAGGGGATGTTCGGAGCAAAAGGCTCCTTGGTCAGTTGCTGCACACACTTTGCATATGGTCTGGACACCAGTGGCCCCAGATCCGAGGTAGTGCGTTTTTCTGTCTTCATTTCCTTTCCTGTCTTAGTGATTGCTCCAGGAGGCTGGCTCACACCCCGCTGGGGCCATGCCACGCATCTCTGTCAATAAGGCCTTTGGATCCAGGGGATGATGTCTCAGTGGGAGATCTAATGTCAGAAGACTCTGGCAGGGTATGGTGGCTCATGCCTGCAATCCCAGCACTTTGGGAGGCCAAGGCAGGAGGATCGCTTGAGGCCAGGAATTTGAGACTAGCCTGAGCCACATAGTGAGACCCTGTCTCTACAAAAAATTTAAAATGAGCTAAGTGTGGCGGGGCATGCCTATAGTCCCAGAAACTTTGGAGTTTGGGACTCCAAAGGTGAGAGGATCACTTGAGCCCAGGAGCTGAAAGCTACAGTGAGCTATGGTTGCACCACTGCACCCCAGCCTGGCTGACAGAGTGAGGCCCCCATCTCAAAAAATAAATAAAAGAAAATTAAAAAGTCAGTGGACTGTACCCAGCTCTAGAGGACTGAGGGCACTAAGGCATGCCAAGAATACTGCTGCTGCTACACAGGGGCAAATGCCATGCCATCTTCAGGGCTCCTGAGAGAGAGAGAGAGAATGTGTGTGTGTGTGTGTGTGTGTGTGTGTGCATTTACATGTGTGTTCCATGGACTCTTGGGGAGCCTTCTAGAATAGAATTTGGTCTTCCTCTGGTTCTACAGACTTTACAGAGGATTTACTATGTTCCACTGAACTGTGAGGGCAAGGAGTGGACCAGAGATGCTGGCCCCTGTCCTGATGGGATTCAATGAGAGCCAGGGGAAGTCAGAGTGACACTAGCCTGAGAAACACATCTGGGTTCTGGCTCATCTACTCATGAACTGAAGGACTGTTTACTGAACGGTGACTCTGTGCTTGGGACACAGCAATGAGCAAGACCAACAAGTCCCTGTTGCATTGGAGCTCTTAGTATTATGGGGGGCTGCAGGTATTACAAAAATAGGTAAGTTCGGAAGGATAATATGTCAGATAGTGATGGAGAAAAAAATGGTAAAATGGGATAGGGGATAACTAGGGGGTGACTCAAGATGGAGTGGTCAGGGGAAGCCCCTGAATAGGGGATATTTGTCACTAATTAGCGTAGATCAGCAAGCCGAGTCTCCCCTTCACTCGGCTCTTCCAACTGTATAAACCAGGGGTGTGGATTAGAGGAGCTCGATGGGCCTGCCTAGCTTAGAAATGTAATGGTTTTATCTCCTCTCGCATGATCCTGTTACCCAATCCTAAAAAAGGAAAAAGAAAATCAAGCCAATGATACTATATTACCTCTCTGTCCCCCTCCAGGATCACCAGGTCCTATATTTATAGGACACAGACACCAGGAGCAGTGGACAAGCAGTTTTATGCAGTTAGCTTCATTTTCAGGTGCCGCTCCTGCTCACCCTCCGCGGCCCCTCCCTGGCTGCAGCTGGGTTGGAACCCCCTGGCCCAGGGGGCAGTTCTTCAAGCACCTCCTTGAGGGCTGCCCGCCTTCCCTCGGATCTGTCATGGAAAGGGTCCATGGAGACAAGACCCCCAGGCAGCTATGTTTTTCCCTGTGGAAGCGGGAAGTATTGGCCCAAATCCTGCAAGGCCCCAAGTGGCTGGGTGAAGGTTGTGAGGTCCAAGGTACACACACTGCCCTCTCTCGAGCCCTCAGCAGAGCCCCCGGGAGCTGCCTGCTGTTCTCTGGGTGCTATGATGTCCTTAGACCCTGCAGGGCAGATGGCTCCCTGGAGACACAGCTGTTCAGGCACTGCCTCCAGGCCATCCTGGCCAAGAGGCTGATGGTGAAAGATATGGTCTGGGGATCAGGATTGGCCTTCAGGATGCCCTGCATTCCACTGCCTTGCCTGTGGCTGGGACATCCTGCCTGGACCTGTCATGGCCATTTCTGGGCTTCTAAACCAGAGCATGGGCCAAGGGAGAGAGCTGGCAAACTGCTAAAAATAAAAATATTCCCCCCACATTCCATTGGTGTGAGCTTCCTCTGACATTATACTATGATGGTGTATTTCATATTCTCAAAAGTTTATAATGATCTACACGAAACATCACTGCAACAGTGAGCTGAAGCCCTCACCCTGCCCCAGCACTCTGGCATTGCCTGGCCCTGCCAGCAGCTCCAGCAACCACAGGACGGATGTCATGGTCAGCCCTGGCCAGCGTCTTGGTGGCCTCCAGGACAGCATCCTTAAAGAAACACAGTCCCCCTCCATGGGAATCAAAGTCACTAGGTGCTCCCAGCAGCCCATAGTTCACTTCTGAAGCCAGGGCAAGTGAGGGGCGCTGCCTTCATCTGTACTTCTTTCTTGCGGGCATAATGCATGGCTGGACACTTCCTGGAAATTCAATTGCTTCCCAAACCTGAAAGGGAGACAGGATGCTTTTGGTTAGGCTGTGCATGCCGACACTGACTTTTCCCAGGATTGAATCGGGAGGAGGGGAGGCCACTGGCCACTGCCCCTGGGTCTTGGGCACTGCATCTGTGTCTTGCCTCCCAGGAGCTGCATTTATACCCCAAGATCTGAAGGAAGAGGCCCCCTTTGTCCTTTGCAGAAGCTCCACCTCCCTAGGCTGAGACTGACACCTGTTTTCCTACCCTACGGTTTTCTTTTCTTTCCTTCTTTTTTTTTTTTTTTTTCAGACAGAGTCTCACTCTGTCACCTAAGCTGGAGTCTTGTCTTTTCTTTTCCCTCCCTCCCTCCCTCCCTCCCTCCCTCCCTCCCTCCCTCCTTCCTTCCTTCCTTCCTTCCTTCCCTTCCTCCTTCCTTCCTTCCTTCCTTCCTTCCTTCTTTCCTTGTTTCTTGACAGAGTCTTGCTCTGTTACCCAGGCTGGAGTGCAGTGGCACAATCTCAGCTCACTGCAACCTCTGCCTCCCGGGTTCAAGTGATTCTCCCGCCTCAGCCTCCCAAGTATCTGGAATTACAGGCACCCACCATCACGTTGGGCTAATTTTTGTATTTTTACTAGAGACGGGGTTTCACCATGTTGTCCAGGCTGGTCTCAAACTCCTGAGCTCAAGTGATCCATCCACCTTGGCTTCCCAAAGTGCTGGAATTACAAGTGTGAGCCACCACACCCGGACAACCCCACAGTTTTCACTGATGCTCCTACCTAACCCCCAGAGAGATTCTCTCTTTGCTTTTTGCTCCAGATATTAATTATATTCCAGGATGGCTCCTCCTGACCACGTGGCCCCTATCCTGTCACGTCCCATGGCTGGGCATGGAGAGGGTTCTCTGGATTGAGAACCAGGGCCCTTGAGTTCTAGCCAGGACTCAACCCATGGTGTGACTTTGGGCAAGTCATGTCAGTTCTCTGGGCCTCACATTTCTCTTTGCTAGAGCAGATGAGATACCTGGAAAAAGCAAGGTGGCTTCTCGCTCCACAAAGTGTGGTCCCTGGACCAGCAGTGCTGGCATCTCCAGGGAGCTTGTTAAGAAAGGCAGAGTCTAAGACATGGTCCACCCTGGAGTTGCTGGATCAGAATCTACAGTTTGACAAAACCTGTCGATTCATTAGCACATTAAAGGGTGAGAAGAACTGGTAAGAGTGATATGCAGTTATTTTGCTTAAAGTTTGGCTAATTTAATAAGAGCAAGAGAGAATTTCTGAGATTCTTGGATGAAGTAATAAATACAATGTTTAAAAGAATTGCAGTGGACAGAGAGACTGAGGGGTGAAGCTGGTCAGGGAACAGGTGAGCAGGCAGCTGCAGCCCTCCAGGTGTGGCCACAGGAACCTGGTGGTGGGTGACGAGTGTGGGCTTGGTTGGCTTGATATTGCTGAGGAAGAATGTGTAATTCTTGGTGATACATTGAATGTCCAGCTAGTGCGGAGGAAGAGATTGGAAATAATTCACGGCTGTGAGGCCTTGGTCCTTCGGTTCTAATTCTGTGTGCAAGACCTCTGGCTGGCCTTGCTGTTTAATTAAACAAATATCGTCCTTATTTTTAAGACATTCCGACCTGTCCTAATTGAATCCTAGAATGGGAAGTAAGAAGACAAGGTACACCAGAGCCTATGATGGTCATGTGTTCCTGTCACTCTGGACTTGTGGTTCCCAGCTCTGCTACACAATGGAAATCTCTGGAGAATCTCTAGAAATCCTGGTGCCCAGACCACAGCCCAGAACCATTAAGTCAGGATCGCTGGGGTGGGTCCAGGTGGTTATGAGGCATGGCCAGGGCTGAAACTCGCTGCTTTTGTCTCTCTAGTACAAGGACTGGCAGGGCAAGAGCTGGGGGCCTGTGGGCACGTGGCTGCTGATGAGATCTGTGTCTGATGTTTCTGCTGCACTGTTGAAATGCAGCCTGGGCCAGTGAACGCTGCCGGTGGTAAGGAGCATGGAGTCTGAGCCATCTCCCACCCGGATGATCTCTGAGCCCCTCACACACTTTCATGCAGTAATGACAGGGCTGGGTGGGGGGGGGGGCCCAGGAAGAAATGCTACAGAATAGGGCTGAGAACACGCTCTGCTCCAAGACATAGTTCCTTACATGCACAGACCTCAACACAAAAGGCACCATTTACAGCTCATTCACTTTATGGACCCCACTTAAGTGATGAAGCTCTGTCTATATTGGGATTTTGATTACTGTGGGTTCCCAGAATGGAGGGCATGCTACAGATACACCATTAAAAAAAAAATCACACCTCATGGTGTTGGGCCAGCTCTCACCACAGAGGCCACTTCCCTGCTAACAATTCCTTGGTGCTTGGGCGTTGATGAGGGACTTTAATGGATATTATCTGGGGGAGAATCAGAGCCTGGGCAAGGGAGGAATCTGTACAATACAGACAGTGAGAGGGAGGCTTGGGGAGGTGACCTGCCCAGTGTCACGCAGAGTGGAGATGGCCTGGGAATTTCCGCCTTTTCCCTCCCAGTTCGGGGCTCTTTCTCTTTCCCTGGGAGGGTTTCTGAACACAGAAGAGAGCTGGAGGGTTTCTCCCAGTGGGCTGGAGGGCTGGGAGAGGCAGGACCTCTTCCTAACACCTCTTGGAGAAGACAGACTCATGGTTATGGGGGTCACACCACGGTTCCTTTCCAGATGGGAATACTTCCAAACTCAGCGATTAAGCAAGATTAAAAACAAAAAGGCCCTCTAGAAAGGGGTTAACCTCATTTCCTCAGTGTAAAAACTGTCCTTGGCAGTTGGAAACGGCAGAGTTGACTCCACGGATGACTGATGCCCCTTACGGGGGTTATATACCTGTCCACACGTGCCCCTGGCAGGGATTTAAACTTTCCATGCTGTTCCACGCATCCTAAATCAAGTAGATCCATCCTGGCCCTTGGTGAAGCCTAAGAGCTGGCGAGGCTTATGTTAAATTGCCCTCTCTGGGCTCCTGCTCCTGGGCTGACAGTCACAAATTCCCCTTAATGAGCACTCCTGAAGTAACCACGGCAGCGCTGTGTGCTAAATTAAGATTCGAGAGCCCAGGCAGGGAGACGGAGGTGTTTGCTTTGGCTGAGAAGGTGCCTGGGCCCCGGCCTGTGTGTTTGCCTGGGTGCCCTGATAAGTGGGCTGCATATTAAGTGCCGCATGGTGGGACCAGAACCATCTGCTGTATGTCCTGAGAGGTCACGCCTGCTGGCCCTTTGGGACCTGGTGGCAGAGGGACCCGGTGTCAACCTGTCTTTGGCTTCCTTTGTGGCCCTGTCACTGAAAAGCCAGAATGAATATTCTTCCTTTCGGAATAAAAATTGAGCCGTGGAAGTTTTGTTTGCTTTGATGAATTACTTCCAGGCTGCTGTTGTTTGGAGAGCAAAGCGCCACAGCTGCAGGGTGGGTAAAGGCTGCGGTCACTCCCCTCCTGTCAATGCTGGTTCCTGTTCCTGAGGCTGAGAGAACTCCTGACAGTAGGGTGGGCACATCTTGGTAGTTGCAGCTTTTCAAGACAGTGTGGCCCAGTGGGGAGAGAGCAGAAAACCTGGGTTATGCTGGCTCTGCCATTTATCAGCTGTGTAACCTTGGGGAAGTGATTCAATCGCTGTGTGCCTCAGTTTCCTCACCTGTCAATAGGGGATCATAATCTTGGCCCTGCGTGTCTTACAGGAGCATTAAGAGCATCAAATGAAACAATAAAAAATGAAAACATTTACAAATGGTAATTTGCCATATATATTTTAATACAAGTGCCTGCCCTTCAATCCAGCTCTCTGCACTGCCTGGGGACAGTGTTAGCAGGAGGACCCCGCTCTGACAGGGACCCGGACTTCTGCCTCTTATGTTTGGAGACAGATGATCACATCTCTCTTATATGTACAAAAGCTTAGTGAACATAAATTAAAGACATTGCTTGCTTGTAGGCTTCTCGAGGGGAGGAATGATGGTCGATTTCTATGGATTTGATACAGGGGAAGGGATATCCCAGCTCCAAAGGATCTCCTGCATATCCAAGCCTTCCTCCACTTGTGCCCCGGACACCGTCCCCTCTACTTTCTCAAGGAAGTTTTTCCTGCAGCTCTGCTCCCCTCTCCCACTGTAGCTTCAATTTCCCTCCTCTGCATGTTTCAGCACGTGAGCAAGTCTTCACAGGACCCCTTTACAACACAAGAAACATCCCTCTGGGCTCCTGCTTCCCTTCAGCTCCAGCTCCAGTTCTCTGCTCCTGTCAATGCTCAACCTCCTAGAGGAGTTGTATCTGCTCACTGCCTCAGCCTCTTTCCCTTCCATCTCTCGCCAGTCCCCTGGCTAAATAGCGCTTGTCCATGACCACCCTGACATGCAAAATGACCTGCAGTCCACATTCCATCCTGCCACACTCTACTGGCCCGTCTCTCCTTGGAGCTTGTGCTTCTCCAGCTTGTGCCTGAGGCCATACCCACTCATCTGCTGTTCCTCCTTGCACCCTGGCAGTACCTTCTCAGCATCGCTGCTTCCTCTCTCTCTCTGCAACTGTTGGAGAGCCCCAGGGGGCTGTTCTCAGCAATTTGAATGCCTCCATCTCTGCTCTTCAGAGGACACTGTACTCAGTCCTGTGGCTTCAGACACCATCCAGACATGACGACTTGCCCATTTCTTTTTCTAGCTTAGACTTTCTCTCTGAGCTCCACTCATGCTCACCTGTCTACTCGTCACCTCCTCTTAGACGTCAAACATCATCTGAAACTTCAAACGGGGTAGCCAGAACTCTCCATCCCTCCAGATCCTTGCCTCTGATGGCCATGCTTCCCTGCCTTTATCATTTAGCCATTCTGTTAGCTTCTCAGATCAAAAGCCCAGGAGGTGCCCTGACTCTCCTCTTTCTCTTGCATCTCACATTCAGTCTACTGGTGAGTCCAAGCCACAGTCATCCCTTGCTGGCACTTTCATGGTAGCCTGGTAACTGGTCTGCCCTTGGCCCCTGCAATCTATACTACATATGACAAAGTGAGCTTTTTGAAGCATCAATCACATCATATCACTCCATGGTTAAAATTCTTCAGTGGGCTTCCACTGTACCCAGAATAAAATCCAAATCTCTTTCCTCTGTGCCTAAGGCTGGTGTGACTTGGTCCTTGTGCTCTTGCTCCCTGCCCTCCAGTCACTCTGGTCTCCTTCCCACCTTGTGGCCAAGAAACGCTTTCCCTTCAGACTTCTCGCTTTCCACTCTGTCTGCTAGGACTGTGCATTCCCAGAACGTGGCGTGCCTGCTCCCTTCTCATGATGCAGCTGTCAGTTTAAAGTTCTCTTCTCAGGTGAGGCCTCCCCAACCTACCCAGCTAAAAGCAGTCTTCCCAGTTACTGTCTACCACATTACATAGCTTAGTTATTTCATAGCACTTATTAGCCCCTCAAACGATCTTACTTATTTGTTGATGTGTTCATTGTCTGTCTCCTTCCTCCCCCTAGAATGTCAGTTTCTCACCTGCTGGGCTCTGTCTTGTTCTCTGCTGTAGCCCCAGCACTAGTAGTAGCTGGCATAAGAAGGCACCCAACACATACAGTGTTTGCTGACTGATTGGCTGTTCATTACTGTTCAGTGCCTGATACATATCATCAGAGTATTTGGGGCATAGATGGGGACTTGGAGATCACTGAATCCAGTCTTCTTTTTTAGACAAGGACACTGAGAATGAGACAAGATCGCAGCAGAGCTGGGCTGTCCCAGGTCTAAGAAAGGACCTGATAGTGGTGCTGAGGTTGCCGGTCCTGGTGGTGAAGAGAGGATAGTAAGGAAGCAGGCTGGCGGCCAAGCAAGGCGAGGACAGCAGGACCAAAGCCGGCTCTCAGCTGCGGTGCTCCATCCATGCACAAATCTCTTCCTGCCCAAACTGCACACGGTTGGTGGAGAAGCTGAGTGCAGGCCCCGCAGGGCAGGCATCAGTCATTATACATCCAATCTGCCGGCCGATACCATCACGGCGGGGGCGCCTTTCTGGCAATGTGAAGGCAATGTTAAGCCTGCCTAGTAGCCTTTGGGTTATGGGGAGGAGACAAAGACAAAATGCAGGCCTGGGGTAAGGGGCCCTGGGGCTTGCCCTGTGGGTGTGTGTGGGATGGAAGGCAGAAAGAGAAAAGGCCCATCCACCGCAGATGGGAGATGGGCAGCTGCCAAGAGGATGGGGCTGGGGGTGGAGGGGGCAGTGATGCAGGCTGAGAAGAGCCTTCTTCTCTTCCTGTTGTGTGACACGCCACACTTACTTCCTCTGTGATTGTTACGTGTCCTCGGGCCTGGGCCTTCGAGTAGTGTTTACACTTGCAGCTTTTTGGCAAGAACCACACTCTGAGAGGGGAGTGAGTCTTCGAGCCAGGGGTTCAACGAGTTACCAAAACATCGCTCAGCCCCTTCCTGTTTGTAGATGGCTGAGCGAAGGAGACAGCTGACTTTGGGGACAGAGAACAAAGGAGCTGAAGATCTGGAAGAGACAGAGGGCAAGCTCTGCCAAGAGGGGCAGGAGCACCTGGGCCGCCCACTCACTTGGGCCTGTCTTGGTGTCTCTGATGCTGCCCCTTGAGGCTTTCTCAAGAAGGAATCGGAGGCTGGGCACATGTGAGTGACTGGTAGGCCAGTCCTGTGGCTTCAGGAACATGCAGGAAACTCCCTACTCCCCTCCCACCTCACTGTGTGCTCCCCACAAGTGTTGGTGACCTGTGGCCCTGGAGGAGCCACCAAAGGAGGTGAACTTACATTGCTTCTGCAGAATGCTCTGTCTGGCTTTGATGAAGGCCAGGATGTCCGAGTCCGTCTGGCTGTCTCCGGTGAGAGGGATGGACGACATTGGCCTCTTGGGGATGCTGGGGGCAACCATGTGTCACATTTTACTGCAGTTTACAACTGGACTCACCACTTGTCTTTCCAAAATGCTTTTCAATTTTTGGTGACTGATCTCACCCAGAAAGTTACATGACACAGCTGGCCTGCTTCTCACTCCCTCCTACCTTCTCTGTGTGGCAGCCACACTAAGCCTTCTGTCATGCAAATTGGGTCAAGTCACTCCCTGCCATAGACCCTGATATGGTTTGGCTGTGTCTGCACCCACATCTCATCTTGAACTGTAGTTCCCATAATTTCCACGTGTTGTGGGAGGGACCTGGTGGGAGATGACTGAATCATGAGGTGGCGTCCCCTATACTGTTCTCGTGGTAGTGAATAAGTCTCATGAGATCTGAAGGTTTCATAAGAGGTTTCCCCTCTCACTTGGCTCTCATTCTCCCTTGGCTGCCACCATGTAAGACGTGCCTTTCACCATGATTGTGAGGCCTCCCCAGCGACATGAACTGTGAGTCCATTAAGCCTCTTTCTCTTTACAAATTGCCCAGTCTCAGGTATGTCTTTATCAGCAGTGTGAAAACAGACTAATACAGACCCTTTAGTGGTTTTTCACCACTCATAGAATAAAACTCAAACTCTGTCCCATGACCCACCAGGCTGTGTGTCATATGACCCCGATTCAGTAGCTCCAGCTGCCCCCTCTTCTTTCAGTGACTTGCATTTACCAAGCCGCATCCAACCTCAGGACCTTTGCTCTGATGCTTCCTCTCCCTGGACTCCCCTTCCCCCAGCCGTCACATGGCGGCCGCGCTTTCTCTCACTGCCTTCTCTATCCTCTCACCACCACCCCTCCTGTCCTCCCATCCCCGATTTACCCAAACCAGCACCCCATAACCTGGGGCCTGTCAACTTCTGCGCCCAGCTTAGATGTCATATCCTTCAGTATTGTATCCTCAGAGCATCCCCACTCCCCATGTGACTTAGCTAGTTGACCTCAAAGCAGAGATTACTATTCTCCTGTCTCTCCTTAAAAACAGAACCATATTTAGCTAAGTTGCCACAACTAAAAAAAACGACCTTTCCCAGACTCCTGTGCTGTGATGTGTGGCCAGGTAGCCAGGTGATGGCCAATGAGATTTGTAAGTAGAAGTGTTGTGGGGCAATCTCCTTAGAAAGGGAGGGCTGTGTGTGCCCTCCCCCATCCCCTTTTCCATCCAGCTTCTCCATATAGCATTCCCCTTCAGCAAACTCAGAGCAGTACATTTGCCTGGTCTTGCCAACTTTCCGTCTGTCCTCACCCCTGTGCCTCTGCACGGCAGGAGGCGGTAGCCACTTCCTTAGAAGGCAGTAAGGATGGTATGTAACAAGGGGCTGGCCATTCCCACAGGTAGTTTTGGGTGTTGGCTTTCCAGCTGCAGCCCAGCTGGAAGTGCTAAAGCAGAGTCCAGGCAGGCAGGGCAGTGGCTGAGCTGGTGAGAGGCTGAGCAGCCATTCTAGTTGGAGGATACAGACACCCATGGTGCTGATCAACTCTGCTAAGCCTGGAAGCAAATGCTGCTGGGTCTTGAGGCCAGGCTTGTCAGCTCCATGCTCTGCTCTGTGGTGGGGCTGCCCTGGGCTGGCTCTTTCGCTTTCTGGCCCCCCAGGTACATCTATTTACAAGAAGATATGAAGCAACTCTGCCCACACAGGGCCCTGGTGACTGTGGGAGAAAACCTCCCCGCTTTGGGTTGGCCTGTGTGAGAGATTCCAGGGAATTCCCAGAGGGCCAGGGCAGAGGCCAGACCTGGGCTCTGTCTGTGTGGCTACTAGACGAGGGGCTTTTTCAGGGAGTAGATTGGAGATGGAGGCCCACTCCGCCCACTGCAGGGGCTGTCACAGGCATTAAAGGAGAAGACCACAGACCTGTCTTCCAGTGGGGTGCTGGTGCTGCTCTGTTTCTGGCTGTGTGGACTGGGGCAAGGCGAGGGCAGGATTTTCCTGGCATTCACATCACTGCAAAACACAAACCAACAAAAGCAAAAGGAATGGGGGCAAATTTATAGAAGATAAATTCAGGGTTTGTATCTAGGAGCTGTTATGGACTGAATGCGTCCTCTCAAAATCCATATGTTGACACGCTAATTCCCAGTGTGATGGGGGGCCTTTGGGAGGTGATTAGATTTAGATGAGGTCCTGAGGGTGGGGCCCCTGCACTGGGATTAGTGTCCTTATAGGTATAAGAAGAGGATGAGAACCTACAGTGCATGTTCTCTCTCTCTCTCTCTCTCTGTGTGTCTCTCTTGGCTCACTGCAACTTCCACCTCCGGGTTCAAGCAATTCTTCTGCCTAAGCCTCCTGAGTAGCTGGGATTACAAGTGTGCACCACCACACCCGGCTAATTGTTTGTATTTTTAGTAAAGATGGGGTTTCACCATGTTGGCCAGACTGGTCTTGAACTCCTGACCTCAAGTGATCCACCCACCTTGGTCTCCCAAAGTGCTGGGAGAGACAGCACACAGCAAGAAGGAGGTGCCAGCAAGTGAGGAAGGAGGCCCTCAGCAGGAACTGAATCTGCTGTGCTATGGACTGGAGGTTTGTGTCCCTGAAAAGTCAGGTGTTGAACCAAATCTCCAATGTAATGGTAGTACAGGTGGGGCCTTTGGGAGGTGATTAGGTCATGAAGGCAGAACTCTCGTGAATGGGATTAGAGTCCTTATAAAAGGGGCATCAGAGAGCTCCCTGGCCCCTACCACCATGTGAGAATGCATCGAGAAGACAGCTGTCTATGAACGAGGAAGGGGGTCCTCACCAGACATCGAATCTGCCAGTGCCTTGACCTTGGACTTCCCAGCCTCCAGAACTGTGAAAAATAAACATTTGTTGTTTGAGCCACTCGTTCTATAGTATTTTGTTATAATGCCTGAGCAGACTAAGACAAGAGCCAAGAATCCTGTCTTGGATGGTTTACACAGTAATTTTCTTTTTTTCTTTCTTTCTTTCTTTTTTTTTTTTTTTTGAGATGGAGTTTCACTCTTGTTGCCCAAGCTGGAGTTCAATGACGTGATATCCTGACCTCAGGTGATCCGCCCACCTTGGCCTCCCAAACTGCTGGGATTACAGGCGTGAGTCACTGTGCCTGGACTACACAGTAATTTTCATTGTTAGGGCATGCATCTGTTGGTTGTAGAAGCTGAACAAACGATGGCCACAACTGTTATTGATAGACATGCCAGGCTCTGTGAAAGTGCTCTGCAAACATCATGCCATTTAATCCTCTCAATGACCTAAGAGGTGGATGTCATCATCTCCATTTTATACATGAGAAAACAGGCTTAGAGAGATTAAAGAAATTCTAAAAGTTATCCAGCTGGTAAGTGGCAGAATTTGGAGCTACTCAGGATTCTTTGAGGCTCCAGAACCTGTGCTCTCAGCCACCATGCCTTCCAACTGGGCTTGACTCTATGGCATTCTGGGAACACACACTGGCCTACCCTGACCACGCTGCCTGCCCCTGGGACCCAGCTTCATGCTCTCTGAGTGAGAAGTCAGATCCAACAGCGCACTAGATGCAGCTGTGCCTGTTCACCTAGGCCGCTGACATGTGCGCCTTGCCTCGGATTCCCGGCCCAGTGCGGTGGAACCCAGAAGCTCCTCTTGGGAGGTGAAGAGGCAGGTGGACACGGCTGGTTGGAGGCCAGTGTATTCCACATGCCTGTGGTGACAAGGTCCCTACTCTAAGCTGTGCTGTAAGGAGATCTTCCTCGCTTCCTGCCTGGAGACAATGTCAGAGCTGGAAGAGGCCTAAGAAGTCACCTGGGTACAACCCTCCTTTTAAACTCTGGGGACACTGGGGCTGAGAGGCAGGCTAGGGTTAGAGACAGGTGAGCCGGCTCCGCGGAGTCTGCATCTTCTGTGCAAGGTACTCCACAGACCTGACAAACCGCGGGTCTCATGGCCCCTTCCCCGGCTCTGGCCTTCCGCCTTCCGATCTCAGCCAATGGCAAGGCTGCTTCCATAGGTCACGACTGTGGTCAAACAAGCAGGAAAAGACATCGGAGCCTGGGGAAGCCCCCCTCACCAACCAGTGTCCATTTCCTAGCAGTGGAGAGACTTTCCACCAGGTGCTCTTCATGGTGGCAGAGCAGAAATCTCTGTGCTGGGTCTAGTGAGGACTGCTGCAGGACCAGAGGTAGCCACAAGGTGGCAAGCTCTGCACGCTTTTCTTTAGAGAACAGTGACCAATTCTCAAGGCTCCTGCAGAGTGGTTCCTGGTGCAGCCTGGAGAAGGGAAGGAGAAAGGGCTTTCCATCCTGCAAGTGCTTTCATTACAACGGGTCAAGGTCAGTTTGGAAGCTGTAGCAAATTTGCAAGACCAAGGCACTGGCACAAAAATGGCTCATTCACTCAATGGCTTCCCAGTGGAGCCATGGCTCAGGTTCCAGGGAGAGTTCACAGGTGCCAAACTATTGAAAGCTGGGAGGGGGTGGAAGAGGATGGAGAGATGGATGGGGCAGGGTAGAGGGCACAATCACACCGTGGCCAGTGGGGCCATCCGGTACCCTTTGAGGAGGCCCAGCTGCCCTGCCTGTTGCCTCAACAGCTCATGCAGGAGGGCAGTGGAATGGAAGGCTGGGGGCTCCCGAGGGAAATGACTCTTCAAACCCGTAAGCTGCTCAAGTGTCCTGTTCTTGGATGCCACAGCTTGGTTTCTGTAATTCTGGGGATGGTGCCATAAATGACCTCTGCCCTCGCCCTTTGCCCAACCAGCCTTTGACACTGATTTAATTTCTCATGTTGACGTCCCTCTGGAGAGAGAACATACCAGCCATCAGAATGAATTATCTTTCTTAAAAAGGATTAATAAGCCATATTAATAATAATTAGGCCTCCTGGGTTGCCAATCAGAATGTTTAGTGGGATCAGCTTCCAGGGCCTGAGCATCCCTGGGGAAGTGATGAATCAGGTTTCTTTCAGAACCCGATGAGCAGAGGACCAGCGTCCCGCCGCCCAGTTCCCCGCCTGCGGCAGTTCCACAGGAACAGCCGTTCTGGAGCTCAGGCAGCAACTGCTGCTGGGCCCTCGCTGTCTCACCTCGCGGCTCTGACCGGGCACTGGAACGTTTATCTGCTCACAGAGTGACCGTGTCGGAGGGACCTTTGCACATCTTACAGATGGGGCAAGGGAATCCCAAAGTGGGGAGCTGGCTTGTCCAACGGTGTGCTGCTCGAAGGGGCCATGACTGGGATTCATGCTATTCAAATCTCAATAAAGGGAACTCGTTGGAGGAGGTCAATAATGACGTGACACATGCCTTTGAAGTCCAAGGTTCTTGACTGCAGGGTTAAGGGTCTCTAGGCAAGCACATCCAGGGAGCATCTTAAGTTGGAATACCTAAGGAATGTCCAGGAATGCCCAAGGCCAAGACAAGGTGGAAGGAGCACTATTCTGATGGGTGGCACAGCAGACGGTCCCTGGAGGCCTTGTCCAGGGGCTACTCCTTAGACCTATTCCACTGTGGACTCTCTCAGAGATGCCAGCGGATAAAGGCTGGCAGTGGGATGGATCAACAAATAAGCAGTAAAGAGGCAGCCCTGGCTGCAAGGGAGCATGACAAAGGGAATGAAGCAGAGAGGACGAAGAAAAGGAGAAGGGGGATGTAAGATAGGAATAGGGACAGGCAGAGCCGACAATGGAGGGAGAGATGGGAGAAGAGGGGAGTGGAGGAGGGAAGGAGGCAGGGAGAGGGCAGGGGGAGCAGTGGGCAGAAGGAAGAAAAGGCACTCGCCATGGAGTGTGAAGGTCTAGGTTTAATCTGTGGCTCTTTTTTTTTTCAGACGGAGTCTCGCTCTGTCTCCAGGCTGGAGTGCAGTGGTGCGATCTCAGCTCACTACAACCTCCACCTCCCGGGTTCAAGCGATTCTCTTGCCTCAGCCTCCTGAGTAGCTGGGATGACAGGTGTGCACCACCATGGCTGGCTAATTTTTGTATTTTTAGTAGGGATGAGATTTCACCATATTGGCCAAGGCTAGTCTCGAACTCCTGACCTCGTGATCCACCTGCCTTGGCCTCCCAAAGTGCTGGGATTACAGGCATAAGCCACCGTGCCTGGCCTAATCTGTGGCTCTTTACGTTATTAACTACAGAGTCAAAGCATCTCATTCCCTTTTAGGGCCTCAGTGTCCTCATTTGCAGAATGGGGAGGCTGAACTCAGGATTTCTCAGCTGAAATGGTGAGGGCCAGTCACAGGGAATTCTGGGTTTCCAGACCTTAGAAGGTTGGCCTTTTAAGGCAACACAGTTTTGCCCCTTAAAAATCATGGCCTCTTGCGAAAATCAGACGGTGTGGACACATTGGAGAGCGGATACCCCAGGCAGGAGGATCTGGTGGTGGGAAGCACATAAAGAAAGCACCTTGTACAAAATATTACAAAATGTGGGCTGGTAAGTGCCAACACCTAGTAGATAACATAGTGGACATGTGTCCCTAAAAGGCAGTCATTGATCCTAAACAAAATTGCTGTGAGGAATGCGGGGAGTGCACGACTCAGACAGGCCTGGGTTTGAGTCCACCATGGATTAGCTGGTGACCCTGGGCAAGCTACTTCATCTCTCTGAGCCTGCGTTTTTTCACATGTCAAGTGAGGGACCATGACGTTGCTCGTGTGATTTGCACCTGGCCCATGAGGACCCTCTACGAAGGCTAGGGGATATTACCACCATCAGGCCAAGGCTGTCTCCCTTGGGAACGTATGAGCACCAACAGCGAATCCTCCGAGTGGGATGTGCACAGGGAATGTCTGAGATGCCCTGAGAGCCTGAGACAGGGTTCCCTACCCGCCTCACCCTGGCAGAGTTCTGTGAGCCCTTTACTACCAGCATCTAAAGCACGTGACAAGGATTTCTTTGTCAGAGGTGGAGCCCCTAGAGCTCTTCCTTTCCAATCTCTGGCGGGGTTACTTTTCCTCTCACCTGCCTAGTGTGACCATCCCATCCACGAATCCTGGCACTCCAACAACTGTTAGAGGAGGAAATATGGGGCAGCCAGCCACTGGAGTTGAGGTGTTTTAACAAACACCGTTCAGGACACTCAGTGATCTCTTCCCAGGAATTAGAGCATCCAACCAGCACGCCAGCAGCCACCACAGGGGATGGGGCTGAACAGCCCTCTAGGGCTGCCTGAAAGCCATCTTCCCCAAGACCCTCCTGCCGGCAGTCACCGAAGGGGCTTGGGGTGGGGGTGGGGACTCTGGGAGCAGGATTTTGGGAAAAGCTCCTGTGGGTGATCTGATGCACACCTTTCAAATTCAAGGTTCTGAACACTAGGATTAAGCATTTTTTTTTGCAAGCATAATATATTTCTTTTCCTTTTTTTTTTTTTTTCTTTTTGAGACAGGGTCTCACTGCGTCACTCAGACAGAGTGCAGTGGTGCAGATCTTGGCTCACTACAGCCTTGACCTTCTGGGTTCAAAAGATCCTCCCATCTCAGCCTCCTGAGTAGCTGGGACTACAAGCATGTGCCACCATGCCTGGCTATGGATCTGTGGGGAGGGAAGGATGCTTTTCATGTTTTTTATAGAGATGGGGTTTCACCTTGTTGCCCAGGCTGGTCTTGAACTCCTGGCTCAAGTGATCCACCTGCCTTAGCCTCCCAAAGTGCTGGGATTACAGGCATGAACCACTGTCCCTGGCCAAGCATAGTATATTTCTATCTTGCATCTATCAGACCCCTTGCTGACACTCCTGGCGCTCTTTCTCTCTCTCTCTCTCTCTCTCTCTCTCACACACACACACACACACACACACGCGTGCGCACATGTACACACTCCAATGTCTTTGAAGTCAAAGGAAAAATGAGAGAC